ACTATAATAAGACTATATAATCTGAACAAATGATTACTATATAAAAAAAGCTTGAAACCCAAGAATAATTATCTATTCTATCTTGACTAACTCACGTATTGAGCCAATCAAGACATTTAACCTCAAATTATCTATCTCACAAAGCATCTCGAATAAGTATCCCGTGAATTTCTTATCTAGCAATACCCACTCTAAAAGAAGACCCAATCAACTATTGAACCGAGTTCAACCGTGTGTGATCTTACCTCAACCGCGTGTCATCATTCCCCTTTATTTTCTTTTCTTCTTTTTGTTTTCCTTTTTTTTTTTTTGGCAAATGTCTCGAGACTTTTTTTATTAACTCACACAAAAATTTCCAATTATAACTAATTTATTTGCCATGACCCGCGCGTGGCAGTTTGGTGCAATAATGGGGGAAGTGTTGTTGACTTGGCATAGTATTGACCTGAGGTATACTAATCTAGTGCTTGTGCTGCAACTTCCTTATTCTTGATCTCACTTTCTTTCTTTCATATTCCTCTACCAATTGGCAATTCACAAAATGTATAATTACTTAAAGTTAATTGGAGGGAAAAGAGTCTTCCACAACCACAAAAACAATGCCACTTTTGATTAGGTTCATGCCTTCTCAGTTACAAAGGCATTCGTCACGCCGTGGCTCATGCATACCCCTTCTTAATTAGCCTAGTAATTGAGTTGGATGCCACTAATTGCTCTTGCTGGAGATTAATATCGACTTTGACTTTTTCTTGTTTATTTATTATTATATTTTCATGCGAGCTTACTCATGCTTATATATGTTCATTTTCTTTTACATTTTTTTTTAATAAATATTTTCATGCCACTCAAGTTTAACTTTTTCTAAGAACTTTTAAAAACTACTTTATATAGTACTTGATTCTAATTAAAATAGAAATCACGCTTACTTATTTAAGGAAACATTTTTACTTTTATTATTCGTCAAATGTTTTTTAGTTACTGACTATATTTAATAAAATGTACATTTATTATTAAAATAAACATCTCATAAATATTTAAGAATTCATCAACAATATGGTACTTAGGAAAAAAAAAAAACCAATTAAAATTGCCAGTTGAACTGTTACAAGTTCCTGATCAAGTGGCTTAATTAACATGATAATAATATTAGGTACTCATGGATTGTGCCATTGGAGTTTTAAAATTATCATTTAGGTAAAAATTATAAGAGCTAATTTTTTTTTTTTGTCAAATCATGATTTCGGACCTTTCAAAACAAAAAATAAAATAAAATAAAAAATCCAAGATAATATTATTCTCTAGACTCTCTACACAAGTATCACAAAGTAAATCTTACAGTACTGAATGGATATATAAAGATAGCATTCAAAGATTCCACGCTTCAAACATTTGAAAAGGGATTAAAAAATAGTTCCATAATTTATTATTAACATCACCATATTACAATGAAATACTTTATTATAAAATTTTATGTCCATTACGCATACTTTGAACCAATGTTATTAGAACCGGACCGGTCATTGACCCGGTCGAGATACCGGGTCACTGGATCAATAGTTCAATCGGTGGGTCACCGGTTAAATCGCATGAACCGGGTATATATGTAAATTTATATTTTATACTTAATTATATAATACATATTTTAAATGGTGCAATTCAAACAAATAAGATGATGTAGTCTAATTGTAATTAGTTTGAACGCAAAACAACCTTCAAAATTGGAGGCGTAAACATCCTCAAAAATAGGAGCGGCCGTAGTACTTAATTGGTACTTCTTCTTTTTTGATAGGCACTTAATTGGTATACTTCAATATACATATAATTCCCAACTAATTCGTTAATTTTTAAAGGCTGCTATTGAAGTAATGGACCATAATCTATTAATCACTTATAGGGTACGTATTCCCCTTCTAAAAATGCATATAGAATTACAAGTAGTTAATCAATATTACGCTAATTTAGTTACTTAACCTAGTTCACATGCTTAGAAAAGTAGTACTGTAGTAGTTTTGAGTAAAAGTATTAGGTTTAAGTTTTTTTTTTGGAGTTACCCAACCTTAATTACCTCTTTGAGGCGAGTTGGCTCCCTCCGATATTTCCACAAGCTTTGACTCTTTGAGCCGGCTATGAGACTATGTCGAATAAAATATTCATTAAGGTATGAAAAGTGCTAAAATATCTCAATTCAAAATTCCAACTACTATGGGAAAATTTCCATAATTACGAAATACCAATATGCTCTTACTGGAAAATTTTTTTAAATATTATTATTTAAATAAGAAATTACGAAAATATAATATTTTGGAATCAAATTACAATCTCTCAAATATAAGATTAAAGAAGATAAAGACGCAAAATTCACTTGCTCATCTAAGATTTTTGACGTTTCCTTAACACAGTATATATATAGAGAGAGAGAGATAAAATAAGTCATAAAACGCATTTTGACTGACAAATCTGGTCATATTCAACTTGGAGACTCATATAAACCTGATCATAAAATTTGAAGAGGCTTGTATGAAACCTGAATAGAGATCAGCTTGAGACCAAGAAACAAAAAAGTAGAATAGTATATAATATAACAAATTCCAAGCTACGTTATTAATAGTAGGAAAAGTTAGACCAAACTAACGAGAACCCATGCCAGCTGGACCTACACAGTCTTTGCAAGCTATATACTACCAGCTTTTACCCATCCTATCTACACACTACTATTTCTAGAATTAGCATAATTCATGTCTCATTTTTTTTTTATTATCTAACACTTTATTGATTATTCCATTAGTCCAATTTGAAAAGTTTTTTCTATCAAGTTTTAATACAATAACATTCTTAGTAATTCAAATTTGAGATTACTGATTAAGCTAGAATAAATCATTTACTAATTGATTCACGTGTTTGGTCGTTAATGTCTCGGTCTTTGAGATGCACAAATCACCCTCTCAAGCAGATCGAGTCATTTTACCTTTTTTTAGTTCTGTGTTGCCAAGATCACTGTATGATCCATGCAAATCCAGCCAAAAACCAAGGAAGAGATTCATTCATGTCTTTTTTTTAAAAAAAAAAATTGTAACTTCTAAGTGAAAGATAATATATTAATATACGCAAAAACAATCAATCACCAATAGTTTATTTAAAATAACCAAAATTATTTAATGAAAGTAACGTGTGTTTGATTATAGAAAAGTTATAAGACTTGATTTTTAATTCGAAGTTCTAGATCTTAACAAGCCGACATAGTTAAATAATCATTCTCAATATTTATATTCCTCTTTGACTAAAATGTTCAGGCAGTTATGGAATTAATATAATAGTTCCCACATATTGTTCTCATTTAATTTAATATTGAAGAATCCAAGAAAAACCTTTTTCTTTTTCATTTGGTGGTAAGTGTGGCTTGATTTATTATTATGAAATATCTCTACTTAGATTTATGAAGGTCTTGGATTGCGACCTGACTAAGCAAAACGAAGGAAATTGTAATTGTAATTGAGAAACTTTGACAGTTACTATGAGATGATGGCGATGATGGCGATAAGGATGATGACCGTGATCACAAAAGTCTACTATGATTAGTTACGCTATTACGCATTCAGCATAACCACATAGTTGATTTTCTTATGAACCGAGAAACTTTTGCCAAACTACATCAGACTTTACTATACCATCTATTGCAGATAAAACGTTATTAGAATCATTTATATATCTACATAGTCAATTGAGCCTAAAAAGGTTTGTCATATTCCTATGGTTGGAATTAAAGAAAAGCACATTTTCTAGATAACTTCGTGTCTCTCCCTTGTTGTAACTTGTAGTAGAGAAAAATTTTAGAGCCCAGGACCACCATTTACTCAATAGTTCGGATCAATCAAAATCATACAACTACTGAGAAGAGAGAAAAGAGAAGAAATAAAAAATGATTTTTTGTCTAAGTGTCACCTCTTGAATAAAAGGACCACATGGGATCTGGAGCATCAAATTTTTTTTCCTTGTAGTAGTTCCAGAAGCTGTCACCACCACCTGTTACAGAAATTCTAACATTTTGGATAACCATATATATTGTGTGTAACTTGTAGCATCAAAAATTTGTTGCCAATATTTCCAAAAAAAAAAAAAAAAAGTTGTTGCCATCATTTGTGGGTTAATTTTCCAAAGAAATTGTAACTCTTTCAAAAAAACCTTAATCAAGAACAAAGACCAGTACTTCCAAAAATGTAAAATAAAAGATAGAAACCAAGAAACACATGTTAAGGAAGGAAGGACATGTTTTTTCTTTGTTTTTGGTCTAACTTACTAAGTCCGCCTTTAAGCTTACTCAACTAACTCTATCTACCAACAATTTAACACATTTTACATTAAGAGTGTGAATGAAACAAATTGATTATAGCGCAACAGAACTTCTAGATGGCAGCTTAACGATTAATTTATTTCTATATTGAAGTGCACGGCACTGGTATTTGGAAATTTCCGTCTAGACTTTATGACAAGGAGAATGAAAAATTAATCCAACATATTGAATGTACATGCATGTGTCTGTGTGTGTATATATACATATATATATACATTAATTATATATAGTAAATTCAAAGGACATGCTTTTTGGGGTATTTCCTATAATGAACTAGGTAAAGTTTTAATTAACTATTACCTTACCAGAGTTAAAAACTTCACTAAAAATCCAGTAAAAAGGGACCAACACCAAATTAAGTCCATAAAACACAAAGGAAGAGTCACGCATCCATTAGTTCACTAGTTAAACAATTACGTATATTTGTATATATAAGTAAATTAAGGACTAAGCATACTTGTAATATATAGAAGCAAACACCCTTCATTACTTCATTGGTTCAATTGGCTTAATTTGTTAATGTCTTGAAGTCTTGCAGTGAATGCGTAACACTGTTAAACATATTTAGAGGAAGGGAAACGGCTTGGTTTCCATATTATGCATACATTTTTTTTTCTCTGACTCAGAATATCATGAATTCTAATTATGACCAAGAAATGAACAATTTTTCATACAGTATGATAAACAAAAAGTGAAAAGAAAAAAAAAATATTTAAAATGGAGACAACAGATTAAAAAAACACATCTACCTATGTTACACCCCCAAAAGTTTAATTTAGCAGTACTCAAAAGAGCTCAATACAAATAATCAACCAAAGCAGTTGGCTTTCCAATCTTCAAAAACTCCAAATCATTCTCCAAGGGTGTCAAATTCAAATCAAGAACCAAAACTCTCTTGTTACCAGCTTTAAAATCAAGCCTGTTTGGTGATGAATCAAGAGTGCTACCACCACTGCCACTACCACTACTACTACTCATAGTCATAGAATTCCTCATGTTTCCATTGGAATTTGCAGCAGCTCTGTGCCTCCTCATGTGGCCACCTAAGGCTTGTCCTATTGCAAATTCCAACCCACAAATGGAACACTCATGTGTTTTAGGCTTTGGGGGTGAACCATTAAGCAATTGTCCATTCATGTCTCCATCTCCAGCCATCAACCTTGGCTTCTTGTGGCTAGCCCTGTGGCCACCAAGTGCCTGAAATGAAGGGAATTGCCTGTTACATGTCTTGCACTCAAACACACGGTTGTTGTTATTATTACAAGAGCTTGAATACATGGCCTCAAATTCACCTCCACGAGAAAGCAGCATCAAACAATTTGCCATGTTCATGCTATCAACCTCTCTTTCTCTCTTCATCATGACAAAACTTGAAATATTGGGTTGGTGATGGTTAATTTTGAAGGTATGGAAAATGGATGTGTGAAAGTATGAAAAGAAAATAAAGTGTGTGGTTGAATGGAATTCTCTTGGAGAGTCAGAAAGGTGTGGTATTTATAAGCTTCTTATGGTTTGATATAGCTTGAGAGTGTTGGACACTTCAGATAGTTGACATTTTATGACATGAATGTTGCCACACATTGTTATTATTGTGACTTTGATTACTTGTAAAATAAGCCTTGTGTGACTGATGCAGCAATTAAAAACTATTAATTTGATGCATTGAACTAATTTTAGGAGTTGTTTGGTGTGAAAGGTGCTGGCTGCTGCTACGTGAGCATGACAGTTTTGCTGAGCCTAACAAGTAACAAGGCCTAGTTAGTATTGGGGACCGGCACTACTATTATCTAGAACTGTGTTAATATTGTTCAAATCTTGATGGAAAGTTCCTAGTCAATTATAGGATGTGTTCTTTTGCTGATAGAAATAGAATGGTATGAAAAAAGGAAACAACAGAGGATCTGAGTTGGAAGCAATGGTTCAGAATAATCATACTAACATGTGAAGCTGACTTCCAAACATCTAGAAATCATGCTGTAAAATTCAAATGAAAATGAAATAAAATAAAAAATTTCTGTTATAAAAGAAGAAAAGTATGAGGACAAATTTGTCTGATCTTTGAATCATTTTTTTTAAAGTAATTTTCCATAATAAAATAAAAGAAGAAAAAAAAAATTATTCTCCAAAAAAGAAGAAGAAGAAGAAGAATTTGTCTGATCTTTGAATCATTGTTTTAAAGTAATTTTCCAAAATTGAAAATGTTTTTTTTGTTTTGTTTTCTGGTAGCTAGGAGTTAAAATGAGAAAAAATATTACCCTTGATTTAGTTCTTATTTTCGTTATAACTGTTATTCCATTTTCTATTCTTCTACCCTTTATTTATTTATTTATTATTATTATTATTATTATTATTATTATTATTATTTTCTTAATTTATTGGGGACTTAATATTGTTATAATTATTGAATGTAGTGAGTAAAAGATGTGAACTCTTCTGCAAAATTTCAATTTGAAGACTTTTATTGTTTACTTTATCAAAAAAAAAATTAATTATTCTGATAATATTGTGTCGACTAAATTACTTCATTAATCTTTTTTTTCATATTTTATATGTAAAATTTAGAGGCTTTTTGACCCTTTTATCCTACATCAATTAATTAATAATCATTTTGCCCCTTATTCAAAACTATCTACCAATCTTCCTCTCTTTAATCGATTAACTTGAAGATTTAATCGATCAAATCTTCAAGTTAATCGATTAAATCTCCCAACAGACAACAAAGGTCAAATCTCCTCCATAAACAAAAGCAGATTCCATACATATGAAGCAAATCAACAAGCATAGATAACCAAACAAACAAAGAAACCAACAAAAGAAAAATGATTCTTGAAAACTGGATTGATTTACATGAACTGATTTTGTTACTTTCCTTTTGATATAGTATGCCAACCTATTAGGTTTTAGAATATGATAAGCAAATGCAAACAATGTTAATGGTCTTGGCTCCATTTTTACCTCTCACATGAAAACCTTGCTTATTACATGAAAAACGGCGCGAAGTGATCCTATTGTCAACCTCGGAACGATGACAGCGATCAAGGCGAACAACGAACCCTTTCCGTCTTGCATATTCATCATAAAAATACTTAGCAGAATCTTCAATCAGTTTTCTGTGTATTGGAAGTTATTTGAATTTTGAATTTTGAATTTAATGTAATAGGAGTTGATTGCGATTTGTATTTAATAGGAGCTGATTGCGTTTTGTATTTAATAGGAGCTGATTGCGTTTTGTATTTAATAAGAGATGATTGCATTTTGTATTTAATAGGACGCAATTAAACACAAATCACAATCAACTCCTATTACATTAAATTCAAAATTCAAATAACCTCCAATACCGTGTTTGTCTCATTCAATCAATGTTTTCACGCTCATTTGAGATATTTAATCGATTAAATATAAGTTTTAGTCGATTAAATCAATTAAGAGGGATATTTAGTCGATTAAGAGAGAGATTTAATCGATTAAATCTTCAAGTCAACCATTTTTTTTTTAGTTTTGACCATTTAATCGATTAAATCTTCAAGTTAATCGATTAAAAAGGGACAAATTGATAGATAATTTTGAATAAAAAACAAAATAATTATTAATTAATTAACGAAGGATAAAAAGGTAAAAAAACCAAAATTTACATCAAATTTTCAAATTATCAGAACACAATTCTAGAACAGTCTAGCATTTTTAGGATATATTTTGTGTTCCACGGTTAAATCGAGAAAAGTAGTATATGTGAAATTTTAAAAATAAAAAATAAAAAAATTAAAGATAAGTGTTACGTAAACAGCAAGAAATGGGAAGAGAGTTTGTGTCAGTTGTGTGTGTACACATTCTCTAATTCTGCTGATTACGTGATTCGCATCGCATTTGTTACTACTTGAATAGACCAATTGTATACATTGTGATAGGTCTGACGTGGACCACAAGTCAATGGGCCATACGCATCCTAATCCATTAGGTGCTTTGGATTTGGATCAAAATTGTTCGATTTTAGGTCCCTAACTTCCAACTAAATTGATTGACCATTTTGTACGTTATCTGGCAGGCACCTTCAAAGGTACACACAATTTCTGTGAAATTAACAACACTTTTTTTTAGCCTTCTCTTTTTCTGTCAATTTCTGTGAAAGAACTTTTCTATTCTTCAATTTGCAACTGTCTGTATTCTGTATTTTTTTTTAAATAAGAATAAAAGATTATGCTTATATTTTTTTATTCCCATTCTATTTACTTTTATACATATATTTAGATCATAATTTCAATAGATATTTCTATACATACATTTAGAGGTTGTTTGTTTCACCTTTTAGAAAAAGTAACTTTTATTACTTTCTTATATTAAAAGTACTTTTTACAAAAGTTAAAGCTATTTATATTTTTAAAAAAATATTTAGTTTTTGAAAAAAATATTTGACTTTTGACTCCTGCTTTTCTTAGAAGTTAAAATCTTTAGCTTATGAAAAAAAGTAAGTTTTTGACTTTTTTAGTACTTCTCCTTTTTCTAAAAGTAAATATCCAAACGAACTAAAAACGAAAAGTGCTTTTTTTCTTGAAAAAAAGCAGCTTTTGAAGGAAAAAAAAACTCATCCAAACGGGCCCTTAGTTCATAATCTCAATTGATCTTCATATTTTATTTCTCCTCCTACAATTGGTTAAGATTGCGATCCAATGGTATGGATAGAAGTAGGTAGAGTAGATATACAAAAAAGTATGCAAAATATCTCATCCTTGTCAAAATATATTAAAAATGTTGAATTATATAATTAGGAATATGATGTTATGTTTACATTCTCTTATACTTTTTCTACTTATTCTTTTCCAATATTATTATATCAGAATCTCAAAAGAAGAGAAAAATGACAAAAGTCATATGTTAAAGATGAGTAAATAAAGTAGATATATAAAAAAGTATGTATTATAACTAATAGTCCCATCTCATTATCAAATGAATTTCTTCTAAACGATTGTTATGTGAAATGTAGTGAGGGTTAAGACACGTTACTCTATGCTCTAGCCAAATCAAAACATATCACGTAACACAAAAGTTGAATTTGTTGAAAGAGATAGTTAATTACTAGTACTTAGGTTGGATTTGACTGGGTTTAGCCTAAATTCGGTTTGAAATGTTGATTACGTCAATTTTTTTTTTATTGATAGTGATGAAATATCCAACCTAATATTTAGAAAAAAAAAACGTATAATTTTAAATATTTTATATAACTAGATTATAAAATTTTATTAGTAAAAAATTAAAAGTAATTGGTGTTTTGTGATACGTATCTTCAAACAAATTATATCATTATAAAAACATTATTGTATGGCGTAATATGTATAAAATTAAGTCAATAAGTCAATGTAAAATGGATATAGCTATTAAGATTGGCGATCTTAAGACTTCTAATTGTTTTCACATTTTTTAATATACTATAGAATCCACTTTCCAAAAAAAAAAAAAAACTATAGAATCCATATAATGATATACACATAAGATCCCAATCTTTACGGGTGCATAAAAATACTATAAAACGCGTCTTGCCCCTAAGCTAATCAGACTAAAATCAGGTCCTTAAAATTAGGCCCAAAGTGTTTTTGGGTTGCGTTTGAGTCAAATTATGAGTGGACCTAGCTCAGCTTGATATCATATAACATTTAAAATATTAAAAAAATTAAATTAAATTATAAGACTATGGGTTAAATGATCATACTACGCATATATATAACATGACAATAAATCTTACATGTTTTGGGAAGTACCATTCATTGTGCATTGCTTTAATTATGTGAACTATCATTATTACCTATCAACATTTTCAATATTACACAGTGAATGAAATAAAATAAGAACTTTATCGTGTTCTAGAAATATCTAAGAATTTCTGTGAATTGTGTTTTGGGAGATATGTGTTTTGCTAGCTAAGGATGTAAATAGGCTAGGCCTTCTTTAGGTCGACCTATGGAAGCATCGGTGAACAGTAAAGCAAAATCAAATTGAAAAATAGAAATAAGGAAGAAGAGGATGAAACTTGGAAACCTAAAATTGGATACGGAAGAGCGTTGTTGAGATTTGAAAGAGAAAAGGATGCTTCATGGTGGAGAGAGTCTCCTTCGTCTCCAAATTTGCTAAGAAGATTTGATGCAATATAAAATAAATTTCTGATACAAGTAAGAGGATGGAATTGTATGATTGAGATTGAGATGGAAATGATAAATACTTTTCAGATTTGATCGAAATATGGAGAGGGTCAATGCGGCGCTAATAGAGTTTAAGTGTGTGAGGAATTGTTTTTAGTATTTTAAATCGGAAATGGATCCTCTTATCTGAAAAAAAATATGATATAGTTATGTAAGAAGATCACAACTATACAAAAAGTAAATCAACAGTTATGATTTTATAACCATTTATTTTAATATATATTTTTCTTTTTTTTTTTATTATCATTGATCCACCTTTGTATGAT